TAAATATTGAAAATTGTTTTGACCATCAATACTTATTTTTACAGTTTCCATCTTTTTTGAAATTTTTTAAAAATACTTTGGGCATATATCGATTCTTTAAAATCCATCTTTTCATCAATTTTTAACTTTATTTTGATGTGCTTTAGTTAATCATGCGTTAAATATACTTTTCATAGATATTTCTTTTTGTATTTTTTATTTTTTTAACAATTTTTTGATTGCTCAGGACTTTCTCGGTTAGGTTGGTTTATTGGTTAGTACCAAATAACCGCTTCTGCCCCCATGTCATGTTGATCGTTCTGGTTCCATTTTTCCTACACTGGGTAAAACATTTTACTATAAAAATTACCTCAACCCTTGGGGAAGTATTTCTCATTTTACTATAAAAATTACCTCAACCCTTGGGGAAGTATTTCTCAGGTTCCACTAATCACTATTTACAATATAATTGATGTTATATAATGGGTGTGGTTTCTATAAGGTTGCAACCTTAAACAATCCAATTAAGGTGCACCACCAAATTTTAGCGTATCATGTAATTTTGGTGTAAAAGATTATTAAGATTATCTGAAAATCTATTTTTATATCTAATTATAAAATTTTAAACTTAAAAAATGGTTAAAATCAAGTAGATCTATAAATATATGAAAATCTTCAAAATGGATGGTCTAAATAATGTGTTGCAAGACGCACTATTTTTGGAACTCAAATTATTTTTTTCTTTCATATTCAATCATCTAATTAGAGGGCTTTTCAACATTAAAACAACCTTTTTTCAATAGATTTTTGAGGTGCATCTTTAATTCTACACTTTAAGGTTGCAACCATATTTAAACTTTTTCCTTATATAGTATCTTATTTTTATATTAAATAATATACTTAATATATAAATTATATTCCATTAATATTTAATATAAAATACATGGTTATGTTAAGGTGCTCACGCTATAGACTAATTGATCATTGTATTCAACAAATTTTAGACATTTTTATACTCTTGTTTTGTACATGGAGTATTTTGTTCATAAGGGTACTTTTGGTAATGGGAAAACTTCCTATGCTCCCCCTACAGTATAGAAGTTTTATCCTTCCCCTACCATCCAGCTGTCCATTTTTTATCAAAAGAGATACTCGCCGTTTGATCTTAGATCCAACGTCTCAAAGTATTTTATTTTTAAAATTTTTTTAATATAAAATTTGGTACGTGCCATCTTATTATTGGGGGTGCACCTATAAAAAATATTAGGAATAATTTTTTGATAAAAAATAATGACCAAAATACCCCTTAAGGGTATTTTTGTCATTTTATTTCATTCAAATTATTATTTTTATATATTTCGTTAGTGCAAGTTTAATAGAGGAATGAACCTCCAAAATTTTGCATCAAAATAATTTATAGAAAAAAAACTAAAAGTAAAATAGTGTAGAGATGTGATTGTGATTGGGGTAATCTTAGTTAGCCCTCCATTAAAAAATGGACGGTTGGATAAAAGGGAGGATATAATTTTTATACTGTAGGGGGAGCATAGAAAGCTTTCCCTTTTGTAATTAGGAGGGGTACTACGTCATCCACATAGAGCACGCTAGTGATATTTAATGCTCAATGTAGATGATGTCACAGCCAATGTAGATGATGCACTTCTCTCCTAATGATAAAAAATATCATTACTAAAAAGAACTTCATGTACTAAACAAATATATATAAGTGTCCAAATTTTGTTGAGTACAATAGTATGAGCACCTTAACATTTAGATTATATTAAGGTGGTCACACAATAGAGTATTTTATAATTGTACTGAACAAATTTTAATAATACAATATTTTTTACTAAAGATAATTTTGGTTATTAAATGGGTTGTGACATCACCCACATGGAGTATTAAATGCCACTATTGTATTCCACATGGGTGATGTCACACCTTTCTTAATGACATAAGTATGGTTATTAAAAAAATGATCCATGTAAAAAATAGTGGTTTATAAGTGTCCAAAATTTATTGAATACAATTATAACATGTTCTATAATGTGAACATTATTGTAAATATAAAACAATGTATGTATATATTTATAAAATAATATTAATATAAATATATGTTTATGAAATTTATTTAAATCAAGTTACCAAATATATGAAATTCATCACACAAAACTTTTTAAACTTGTTAAGAAGCATGGAGAAGAGAAATTTTACAAAAATATTTTATGTTAAAAGTATTTACATATTTTTCTTGAAAAATATTTACGCACGACCAAACGTGCCGTTGGAGAAAAGCCCACTCCCACTCACACACAAATTTCCAGGAAAAAGCATGGCTTCCAAAGCAAATACGTCTTCGTGCCATGTCACAAGAAAGCATGACTTTCATAACCTCTTTGACTAAGCCACAAAGTAATAAAGATAAGAAAATTTAGAGAGAGAGAGGCGCTTAGTTGTTAGATTTTTTTTTTATAGGAAAATTATGATAAAATTTAGAGGTACGCCATAATTGGGTTGCTTAAGGTTGCAACCTTATGAAAACCACACCCTTTATATTATCTTGTGCGCTCTTTTTTTTCTTATATTATGCAAACATATTCCTTGCGTTACAACTTACAGAGAGAGGGAAAAGATAAAGAGAGAGAAAGAAAGAGAAATTCTGGGAAAAGATAAAGAGAGAGAAAGAAAGAGAAATTCTCTTTCTAAACTGTTAAAGAGAGAGAAAAAAGACGTTTGCGTGAAGTTGGGGATGGTGCAAAGACGGAGAAGTCACATCATAAGAAAAAATGGAATGGATGACAAAAAGTAAGACTTCATCTCCTATTTCTACAAAAAGCCAAACCCAAAGCCAATGACTACGAAAAGCAAGACCTCCAAAGCCAATGACTTCTACTGCTATGCACTGTAGTTGCTGTCAAAGTCTTTCA